GTACCGTGGTGAACTAGAGGTGCTCTGGTGAGCTGGGGGTGTCTTGGAGAACTGGTAGTACCGTTGTGAACTAGAGGTGCTCTGGTGAGCTGGGGGTGCTCTGGCCAAGTCAAGACCATCCAGCTCTGCTGGCACACACATGGCCAAGCCAGGCATACTGTGCATTGTCTCCTGGGGAGCCCCGTTGAGGCTCTCCTAACGCCAGTGGAGTCTGGACTGTAAGGCTCACCCAGTGCTCTGTGCCCTTCAGGATTCCGACTGTGTTAGTGTAAGTGTGTATATATACTGTATAACGTCTATATCAAGCATGTAACTAAATTAATTTGCTTCTGGGAAACTTCTGGAAAAATACAGGTAAAACAAAACCATTAAAAGAACCATTATGTAACAGTGTAATGTGTTATAATCTCCGTGTTACACACAAATAAACCAACTCTTCTAAGCTACAGAATCATGTTTACATACATGCAGCTACATAATTCAAGTGATGAATAAAGAGTTATGCATTTTGACTCAATGGTTTTCAGTAACATCTTTAAAAATGGTTTTATTTCAATTTCCTGTGGTTTATAATCTGTGATTTATAATACTCCCAATATTCATGTGATCTCATACTGAAGTGTATACGATCATCTGCAGTCATCTTTTAAAACTTGACACAATATTTTGCACATTTTTGTTGCACACTCTCCTAAAAAATGTTTATCACTTAACTGTTCATTTATCAGTACAGTAAAGCTGTAATGACATTTTAAGACATTCAAAACCATTTAAAATTTAAAAATACCAACAAAATACACTTATGTACCAGATAATACTGTGTAGATTACTAATGACAAAGGGTAGGGGAAAAGATCAGCCCATTATATACCTTGTTATAACTAATTATTAACATTATTAACAACTGTAACATTTACTGCTTCATCTGGTATCAGCTTTGAAAAGTCAGCCAGTTTTGGAAAGGTCTATTCTACAACAAGTGACACAATGACATCTAGCACTTTCCTCCTTCAAGGTCACTCCATACACTGGAAAAAATAGCCCTGATCAAACATTCTTGATACACTAATTGTTTTAACTGGACTCATAAGCAAATATGAGTGGAGGCAGTTTCTTGGAGTGATAAGAGGATTTCTGCAGGTTTTACAGTATATAAGGACCAGGCTGGTCTGCAGTCAGACGTACAGAGGCGAAAATGGGCAAGCTACTGATCTGTGTTGGTAAGTAGAGTTCTCTCTGCCTTGTGCTTTTCTCCTGGGCTTAGATTACTTCCACTGCAAAGGCAGCTTAGGTGGGGTACTTGTTGAATTTGGGGATTATGAGAAAGGCATCCTATGCAAAATAACTGCACTACATTTGGCTGCTAGGGGCTTGCCTTGCACAAGGGTTCTGTAGGAACCTTTTCAGGATTTTGGTTCTGATCAGAAGGAAATTAGTCATAGGGGACTGACTCCTGAATAAGGGGTGTGTATGAATCCAGGCACAAGTGTTATAAAGGGTTATAGGCTCCAGGTAGGTGACTACTGCAGTTGGTGATGAAGAAAATAGAAAACAACAAACAGTTTTTATACTGTTCTCATTACTGATTGGAGGATTTTGTTTTATCTGAGGCTAATAGTGTCAGTGCAAGATTCCTCTCACTCCAGAGCTGTTCAGCCATCGAAAACGTTTTTCACTCTCCTCTCACATTTTCTTACAGGTCTCGCACTCCTGCTGCACGTGCAGCTTGGTAAGTCTTCTGACGCCCGTTCCGCTGTGTGTGTCTCCTGACAAACAGGGAGCTCACACGTTGTTTTTAGCCATTTTAGAGGCCTCATTTTGCTTTGCTTTCACAAAATGCCCATAAAATGGGGAGGGGAGAGGTTCCATTTCAATTGCTGATAAAACTAAACGAAGGAAACTTCAAAATCATACTCTCCCTATATATTCAATTGTTGGAGAGGCATTTCTAAAACTGAAACATACTTACAGTAGGCTGATTACGGAGTAAACACCACTGAGGCTAAATAAAACAACACACAACAGCCATCTTACTTTTCAGTTACAAATTGTACTTAATTTACATTGTAAAAAGTAATGATGCAAATTTGTTTTTTAGTCCTCAGCCAATTAATAGTGTAGAAGGGCCCTCTACTGGCCCTCTACTGGCCAGAAAGGTCTATAGCAAGTGCACCAGTTCACAAAGGGAAGACACCAGCTATTAAGTAGCAAGATTACAGACTTACTTTTTAGCTGAAGAAAAGTGCCACTGACATACAAACAGGAGAAATGGGTAAAAAAACACTGACGTCTGTAGTCACAGCTCTCAGAAATGGAGCTAATGGAACTTCATACAGGGCTCAGTGGCTTGCTTCAGAGATGATCCTTGGGCTGCTGTGACTACTGCTAGGAAAACACATCTGATGATGGATCATGGCACCCATCTCCCCATGTTACTTTATTTATTGCGCACCCCATCAGACGTGCTACAGTACATCTGTTTCACAAACGGAAAATCTGCTTTGTAAATCCTTCCAACAATCCTCTTTCAGGATATTCCTATGTCCTGTCATGCTACTTCACCAACTGGGGCCAGTACAGACCAGGAGCTGGGAAATACTTCCCTACCAATGTCGACCCATGCCTGTGTGACCATCTGATTTACGCCTTCGCTGGGATGAGCAACAATCAGATTAAGACCTACGAGTGGGACGATGTCAAGCTCTATGGAGAGTTCAACGGCCTCAAGAACCAGTGAGTGTTGGAGATCGGTCTTCTGCTCTCTTTAATACCAGCACTGAGCAAAGTGTTTACCTCAAGACAGAGAGCACAGCCAGTGCCTTGATTTTTTTTTTGGTCTGAAGTTCTGTTCAGTAGATACAATCTCCTGTCAGTGCAACAAAGCAAACTTTTAATTTTTGAAGGTTAAAAACAAATTAATTGGCTTCAAAACCACTCTGGCTTCAAGCAACGTAAAAATATCACTTTCTGTGATTTGTGACTTGGACAATTGGTTCAGCTCTGTGGTGGAGCACAAATAACTACAGTAAAAATTAAACTAAAAGGTGGACGTCACATTTCAGAGGGCAGACTTCTTAGGGATTGACTCAATCAGTGGACCAATCAGAAAGCCACAGTAACGACTGTGGACTGCAGTAACGATGATGGTTGTTGGGTTTCTCACAAGGACAATGTCTCTTGCCTGAATTAAAAGGATTTACAAAAGCTCTGCTCTTCTTCTCACAGGAACGGAAACCTCAAGACCCTCCTGGCTATTGGTGGCTGGAACTTTGGAACTGCTCAGTAAGTATGGCCTCTCGCGAAGTTTCGCTCTTGTCCCCAAGGATGTTAAGGAGCCTGGAGCCTGGAGTGAGAAGGTCACTCTGTCCTGCTCCCTCTTCTTCTCTCAAGCGCCCCCTCTCTCACCCCAGGTTCTCCGCCATGGTGGCCAGCCCCAGCACCCGTCAGACCTTCATCCAGTCGGTGATTAAATTCCTGAGGCAGTACGAGTTCGACGGCCTGGACCTGGACTGGGAGTATCCCGGCTCCAGAGGCAGCCCTGCCCAGGACAAGCAGCTCTTCACCACCCTTGTCCAGGTAGGAGAGCAGGACAGCGGAGTGATGAGCACACCTGTCTGCAGTGCCACCCTACAAAGTGACACCTCTGTGTGCTCCTCTTAGAGGTTAATCAAGAGCTTAAATAACAGCAATGCTTAAATGTCTGCAACAAGTGGAATCATTTGGATCTCCCTCTGGATGGGCTCTTATTTACATAATTAAAACATGTTACTTTTCTGAAGCACACTGTATATAAAAAGTCTCAGAACATTGGAACTTCTGATTGAGCACCAGGTGTCTCAGAACCCACGTTTCCCGTCCTTGAGAATTCCAATCCAGATGGATTTATAATACAACAGTAAATCATAGATTTCTAGAGACTCGGAACTGTTCAATTGCGGTCAGTTACTGTATATGAAGAAGTGCATTACGAATGAAGTCACTTGCTTACTGGATTAATGACTGGCAGTCCGATTCAGCTGGGCTGTCTCTCTGCGGGACCAGGACTGGAGACGGCTGCTCCCTGCCCAAGCCGTGCTGCATGCTTATGCCTCCCTCCGCTTGTTCACCTTAATGTTCTGCAGGAATTGCTGGCTGCCTTTGAGGCTGAGGCCAAGCAGACCAACCGTCCTCGTCTGATGGTGACCGCTGCAGTGTCGGCCGGCAAGAGCACCATCGACTCTGGATACCAGATCGCCCAGGTCTCCCAGTGAGTGTCGGCACAGCTGTTGTGTGGCCAACACTGTTCAACACATGGGCGCTGTTTGCTGAATCCTGCTTGTTGGCTAGGCTCTCTCGGGCTCCGGCTTCTGGCTGTGACCTGTCAGTGTTCCTGCCTCTCCAGGTGTCTCCTGGTGTCTGTCCAGCTTGTCATACAATCACAGACTTGGTTTTACTACTTGTTGCCTGAGCAGAAGGAAATCTGCAACAGTTAAATACCTTCATGTCTGATCAAATTCTGACATCCAAAGAATAACAGGCATAGAGGCTGTTAATACAGATCGTATGCTTCTCAGCAGTCCTGAAAAGTTAAGCATTAAATGGATACTTCCCTTGCTCTCCCCAGGTACCTGGATTACCTGCATGTGATGACCTATGACTTCCACGGCTCCTGGGAGCGTCAGACTGGTGAGAACAGCCCCCTGTACAAGGGACCTGCTGACCAGGGCAGCTACATCTACTTCAACGTGGTGAGTATTTGGTCATTAGAACACAGAGACTTATCTACTGTAGGTCGTGCTGCTGCATTGAATGTGAAGATCATATGCATGGATAATCATTTGTAAGCCAAACAGAAAATAAGGCTTTTCTGGAGGAAATACGGCTTTTCGTGCAGAGCTGCAATCCATGTTTTCTAAACAATGTCATCAGGGGCTTGGAAAGCACAGGGAACAATAAGATCACAATTAAAAGCGAAGCACGGCCATGCTTTCTATACAAAATCAATAGAATGGCTGCAGTAAATGAATCTTGACAAGATGCTCCTTCCTTGTAAGATGCCATTATCTCCCATAGCTGATGTACAATTTCTCAGTGCTAACAGCTGGTGAACTTGATTTAATAAAGTACTAATGCAGGAGTTCATTTCTCAGGGATTTCAAGACTGTCTTATATAGAGTGATTTTTGAGACCCCTGTTGCCAGCTGACTTTAACTAACGGGAACACGGGGTTCATTTTCCCAGGACTACGCCATGAACTACTGGAAGAGCAACGGTGCTCCTGCTCAGAAACTGCTGGTTGGCTTCCCCACCTACGGACACACCTTTGTGCTGGCCAACCCCTCCAACAACGGTGTGGGAGCCCCCGCGTCTGGCCCTGGCCCTGCTGGGACCTACACCAGGCAGTCTGGCTTCTGGGCCTACTATGAGGTGAGTCTACCAGGAGCTCGGACCTGTCAGAGTGCTCAGCCAGGCCACTGGGACCAGTGGTCATCAGTACTCCTCAGACAATCATTACAGCCTCTGCTTCCCTGCCTGCCCTGGGCTTAGGAATAGAAAAATGTTCTGAGCAGATGCCTTTGTTCAAAATTCAAGGCTATAAGCTAGGCTAGATGTTTAACAAATACGTTACACATAATATATAAATACTATTTATAAAGTATATAGTGTTTTCTATATATCACTCTGACAATGATTGGAATACCAAAAATGAAAGAGTAATGCACCCTTATTTTTGATCAATTTAACTTTCAGATGTTTTAGCACCACATAGATGATTAATTTGATCAAATATTCTGCCAACAGGGCTAATTGGGAACTCCTGTTACAATAACTCTGTGTGTTTGCAGCCCCAGAAATGAAGCAATATGAGGTTTTGTGAGGGTTCTGGACCATCCTGCCTGTGTAAGAGCTGCAATAGCACAGGGGCTGTTTCTCTCCCACTTGGCTGTTGAACAGAGTGTCTCCTCTCTCTACAGATCTGCACCTTCCTCAAACAGGGAGCCACTCAGGCTTGGGATGCCCCACAGGATGTCCCCTATGCTTACAGTGGAAACACCTGGGTGGGCTATGATAACGTGAAGAGCTTCCAGATCAAGGTGTGTGTCATGGGAGGCAGGACTGGCACCACAGTCAGCACACTCATGAAAAAAGAACATCATTTCTTTTGGACGAGAGCAATCCGTGGCTTTCAAAGTCTCGGTAGAGGTGCTTGGGATAAATCCCACCTGTCTCTCTATCCCCCCACAGATCGATTGGCTCAAGCAGAACAACTTCGGAGGAGCAATGGTTTGGAGCCTTGACCTGGACGACTTCAGTGGCACCTTCTGTGGGCAGGGCAAATACCCTCTGATCAACACCCTGAGGAACGGGCTCGGGACCTCCAGCTCAGGTCTGTCTCCCTGACCCCTTGTCCGTCTGTCCGCATGCGTCAAGCCTCAGCAGCTCTTACAGGAAATTTAACAGCACACCTGATGTTGAATGTCTAAGCAATGTGACACAAGGAGGGTCCCAAACTGGGATCCAGGCACCCCTGGGTGTGTCTTCACATGCTAACCAGGTTGTCCCCAGCAGACCCTGAACATCTAGTCCACTAAGCTCTAGTCAATCAAATCGGGACAGCGCTGTGACTTTGAAACCCTCTGCTCTCCCTGCCAGCCAGGTCTGACCCCCACTCTGTCATCTCTCCCTGTTTCCCAGGCTGCACCCCCCTACCCCAGCCCCTGCCCCCTGTGACTCAGGCGCCCAACACTCCAGCAGGGGGTGGCGGCAGCGGAGGCGGCAGCAGTGGTGGCAGCAGCGGAGGTGGCAGCAGCGGAGGGAGTGGGAGTGGCTTCTGTGCCGGCAAAGCCAACGGCCTGTATCCCGACGCCTCCAACAAGAACCACTTCTGGCACTGCATGAACGGCGAGACCTACAACCAGCACTGCGCGGCCGGCCTGGTGTTCGACCCCAGCTGCTCCTGCTGCAACTGGGTCTGAGCGGCCTCGCAGCTCGAACCCCTGCCAGCCCCCCTCTCCTCCCCTGACCTTCTCCCTGACCTCGACTGACTCTCCTGTGTAATCAGCAACCCAGCACTTAAATTAAAGCCCTGCAAAGCCAACTCCTTTGGTCCGGAGTCTTCCTTTTCTTTCTTGAGTGGTTTCTGTCAAAGTCTCACACAGAGGACAAGAACACTAACATACCGTTTCAGCACACAGTGGCAGGTTGCAGGGCAGCCAGAGCCTATCACAGCAGGCATAGGGCACAAGGCAGGATACACCCTGGATGCGATGCTAGTCCATCGCGGGGCACACACACACTCACTCCAGGGCCGATTTTTCCACAGCCAAATAACCCTCTGTAACGGAGACGGACTGGAATCCGTGTCAGATCTTATAGAAGACCCTATGCGATGCGGTAAGAGCTGGAGAAAACAGGAGGCGTGGTAAAACGGAACACACAGGGGTTTAATAGTGCACAAAATAATAGTGACAGTCCGTGAGACAGTGTACAGGGGAAGACAAAACGGCATCCAAATCCAAACGGGTCCAAGGGGAGGTCAAAGCACAGTCCAAGAGTCCATCAACTAGAAATCCATCCTGGGACGCAACAAAGTTAAAATCCCCGGGAGGGGGGAGCACACGGACAGACGAGACATGGAGGTCCAAGGGTGACGGGGCGAGATCCTCCAGACCCCGGGCTCAGGAAACGGGAGGTGTCTGGGATGAGGCCTATGCCCTCAGGAGACGGACGTAGTGTTTCCTGGTGCTAGGCGGGCCTTGCGACATCTTACCCTAATGATGAGCCCCGAGGACTGGAGGAGCTGGTCTTTAAATAATAACACTAAAAGGGTACACCTGGAGAGCTAAATGACACGAACAATAATGAGAGCAGTGGAGCGCCCTCTAGGGAGGGATGTCGGGCATTACACCCTCCTCCTGTGGGAGGAAACCGAAACTCCTGGAGGAAACTCACGCAAGCACAGGGAGAGCAGACAGACTCCATACTGACAGCATCCCAGGAACTGAGCCCAGCAATGCTAACAACTGCCCCGCCCCTCATCATTCCTTGTGTATTCCCAGCATGCTCCCTAACGGCCACTGGCAACCTTGCTGGCTGAGGTGACTTATGGGGAAGGTGACCTCCAAGGAACTCAGATGCTAATATGCCTTGTAGGAATAATACCAGCTGATGTGGTCTTGCTGTTTGAACCAGTAGCAAATCATTGACAAAACAGCTCAAGTGCCCACATAGCTTTGTCAACAGTAAATGTATACTTTAAAAATAGAGAATCTTATTCACGATAAACTCAAAACCTTGAATTGCCCTTCAGTTGCAAATCTCACACCCATTACTTTATTGCGTGGCAGGCTTCCACTGGACAGAGGAAAGATTTGACCAACATCCGCCAACTGAGTGCTTCATTTTTGCTTGTTTTGTTTGGGAGAGGGCTCATGGTTTTCATTTGTTCAGTGCCTTAGTTTCAGAATTCAAAACGTCTTGGCATTTTGCAGAAAAGGAAAGCTGAACATGCGACTTCACCTCGCATCTCTGTAAATCACTTTTTTCAAAATTTCCTGTAAATATGGAGAGGTGTAATATCTGTTGTTTCTAAGACAGACCACCAGATGGAGCTCACTGAAAAAGAATTCGGAGTAATATGACCAGAGTGAGTTAATTTTTTATTTCGAGTGGAATTTATAACACAGGAATTTCATTTTCAAATAAACAATATGCAGAGGCTCCAGATGCTAAAAATTAAGATACATCTTCCCATTCCCACATGACATATCTCGCTTGATCACTGAAAATTAGGATTAAATTGCAATACATTCCCCAATTAGTCAGGTGTCAAGATAAACACGTAATTCTGATATTAAACCAGGTTCACAAGCACAAAATTGTTTTGTTTTACCCGCTTCCAGGCGAGGAACAAAATATCAGGAAGTAAAAAAAAAGTTTTTTTTTTACTTTTTAAAGTAAAATGGTTAGCATTATAGTCCTTTGAAAGATACTCTTAGATTATTTGATTTTTGAGAGTGAAATGCATTACGTCTTCCTGTAAATAGGAAGGTTTTCTTCAGCCAAAGGTTTTTACTGTTAAAACGGAGAACAGAATCTGATTGACATGACCGTTTCCTTCTGGAATTTCCCTAAGAAATAATAACAGCAGTTTCTTCTGCCGTTTGCTTCGCTTTGAACAGTAGTTAGGCTGTTTCTTTGTGTTTGTTCGTTGATCAGGGCCGTTGAGTTAGAAGGGGCCGGGGACTTTGCTGTAAGTTTTCTTTGTGTTTCTCTTGAAACGTTTTGAATCCTTCAACTTGGAAATTACCCAAGATATATACAGTTAACATGAAAGTTACTGTTACAAATATACAGCAAATTAGGAAGGTTAGGTGGGATAATGCCTTAGTCTCCAATCGCACGTCTTCTCGAACTTGGTTATAATGGACGCTACCGTGGACGCTAAAGGGGGTAGACAAATATATTTTCTGATCACCTATATTATGCCATATATTTTACATTAGACATACTGTATATATTTAGAAACTGTATCCATGCACTGGTTATTCACAAACTTCTGAAAATTGTGTTAATTACTTCTGACTTCTGATTTTTTACGTCCGACTGGATATTACACAAACCCTTAAAAAAAACGAACTTATCTGGCGAAAGCCAGACGTTTGGCAACCTTACCTGTGTTGGCTACTAGAGCTCTGTGAAGTTGCCGCCCCCCTACAAACAGCACAAACGATGAAACTCACCTCATCCGTTAGTGCTGCGTTTGTGCCATTGAAAGTAGCTTCCCAGCTGCTTTCGTTCCTGAGATATAATGCCTTTTTTTTCGGGGGGTCACCTTGTTCAGCCCCCCTACACTGTTACAGGTGCGAGGATAACAATTCTGCAGTTTTGTGTTTCTCTGCTTGACCGGGTGGGTGGCGGCGGGTTTTTTGCATTATGATACCAGTTCATTCTGTGCGTTTGTGTGAGCAGGAAAAATACATTTTTCGAGTATCATACCCTAATCAGAAGAGTTGCGGGTGTAGTCTTAAAAAGCGAACACTAGCAAACAATTGGATGTTCTTACAAAGAGGCTTTAACGAGCACGTCTTAATACTTCGCACTCTTTTAAAATCTGAAGAAGTGATCAGTTTCTCGCTGTCTCCTTCTTAAATAAACACGCGCACTAGGGGGGGTGTAAAATTTACTGACACCAAGACCACTGTTGTTGCATTTTTTTATGTTAAGTACATTTGTCAACATGAAAAAGAACCAGGATGTTGTTTTAAGGGGCAGTACTGTACGTACAAAGTTGACACGGGTAGTTCGTAACACATCCGAGAAGCAACTACCGTCTCATACATGCAGATCGCGGCAATTTACAGGGTTTTACAATTTACAATTGTATTTACAGGGTTCTTATGCGTAAACATGAAACGATAAGCTCACGGTCCTTTGTGTTTCTGGTCAGTCTTTGGTGTAGAATACAGCGTGAGGGCAAACCTCGTCCTATGAAGACACAGATATACTGTACATTAAGTGCCTTTGTTAGATCGTCATATTTCTCCCAGGTGAAGTCGTGTCTTTTGCAGTATGCAATGTAGTGACCCAGGATACTGTATGTTTGGTTGTCCAGCTCCATGAAGTTGCACCCCGCCCCCCAACAAACAGCACAAACGATGAAACCCACCGCATTCGTTAGTGCTGCGTTTGTGCCGGTTTGTGTAGTTGAAAGTAGCGTTTGTGCTGCTTTCATTCCCGAAATCTAGCGCCTTGTTTTTTCGGGTAATAACGTGACTACAAGGGAATTTGCAGGTACCAACATACTCGGTACTTTAAATCCTGAATGTAAAGAAAACAACCGGTGCAATTTGTTTTCTGAGTCTGTCTTGTCGGGTGGGGTGGATGTTTCAATATATTTCCATACAGCGCCTTCTTTTTCTGGCTGTGACGTCACTCTATGGCGTACAAAAACAGCAAGGTCATGACCACCAGATCTTTAAATTGTGATCTTTTGATCAGTTGACCCCAGCTTTGCAATTTCACACCTTTATAGTTGGGTAACAATACAGAGCTTTAATCTAGTATGTTTCCTTGAACAGTATAACCAGATGATGCAATTTTGTTCTAAACTCTTTACTTTAATATACCGTTTTGTGATGGTATGCGGTTCTTTTGAACTCCATGTCGCGACATAGGGGCACGGCATTTTGTCTAGCTTCATATCAGGAAATATGGACTCCATGTCCCGACATGGGGGCGAGAGGGGGCAACATGTCATATCGCGATATATGGACTTCATGTCATGACATGGGGTCTGGGAGGCATGCCATATCTCGATATGCGGGCTTCACGTCGCGACATGGGGGGCGGGGCGGCAAGTCATATCGCGATATGCGGGCTTCATGTCGCGACATTGGGGCGGGGCGGCACATCATATCGCGATATGCGGGCTTTATGTCGCGACATGGGGGGCGGGGCGGCACGTCATATCGCGATATGCGGGCTTCATGTCGCGACATGGGAGCGGGGCGTCATGTCATATCGCGATATGCAGGCTTCAGTCCTCGACATGGGGGGCGTGGGCGGCATGTCATATCGTGATATATGAACTCTATGTCGCAATATGGGGGCTGGGGCGTTTTGTTGGGGTATGTCATATCACGATATACTGTACGGGCTTATAGATATCGTGGTAGTAACGCGATGCGATCTTGAAGTCCGCACCCATATCGTGACAAGCTATCTGAGTCATGAACGCGCTGTGGATGCCATGACATTCTTTGTCTGCTATTCAGTCTTGAGCTCAGTGCGATTTATCTTAGATCAGTTATTGGAAACCAATGGATGTGTTACTGTGTATCCACCGAGCTTATACAGCTCACACGGTTAACCGGGGCTGCAGCATTTGGACCAACAGGAAAACCCCTCACCGATATATCTACATATACAGTATATAGTTTTTGAACTTCCGCTGTGGCGTTTACCCAATCAGTGTCGATTCTCAGTCTTACTAAATTTCACCCAATCGCGGCCCGAACTGTTCGGGGTTTAGCCAATCACAGGTCTGAGAGCTGCTCGAGCTTGCAGCGCCAGGTGGATCGGCTTGTTTACTGTCAATGATAATCTAATTTTAAAATGCTTTACCTATTTGCAAAATAACTGCATCGGCTTATTTTTTTATTTTAATGTCTTAATTGATTCAAAATATCCCGTATTCTTCTAAATACATTTTTATTTGCAATATAACAGTCTCCGCTGTTTTCTGTAATTAATACATAGTATTTTTTAAACACTTTTAATAGTATATTGAAGGTAGGGGAAACCACCTACTTCTTTGTACTTCAAAAATTAATAGAAATGTAAAGTCTATGATAATTATATTACTATGCTTGTGCGTTCAATTTTGTTTTTTTATTGTAAAATTATATCGATCTTGAAACTAATACCTAAAAATGTGAATATGGGCACTCGTGTTATACCAGCGGTAATTTGGAAACTGGTGTTGTCAGGATACAGCAACAGTGTCTCTTCACCAATAAAAGGAGTACACAAGCAATACATTTTCGAGAATATGGTTAAAAATTAAAAGAGAAAACACTTAACCCAATTAACTAACATAATAACTCCTCCCTAAACGTAAGACTGTTTATAAGTGTAAAGGCTGCGGTCAACTGATCAAAATATCACAGTTGAAAGATCTGGTGGCCGTGACTTTTTGTACGTTGCAGAGAGTTAAAGTACCGAGTATGTTGGTACCTGTAAACTTCCTTGTAGGTAGTCACATGAGTACCCGATAAAACAAGGCGTTTCGGGAACGAAAGCAGCACAAACGCCACTGTCAACAACACAAACCGGCACAAACACACTAACGAATGCGGTGGGTTTCATCGTTTGTGCTGTTTGTATGGTTGGCAACTTCACGGAACAGGACATGTCTACAGCCAGACGCTTGTTTAAATAGGGCTTTACTGCGGAGGGAAATATTTACACCAGTAAATGGTGCAGGAATGAACTGGCCATTCATAAGAGAACATGAGGAGTGTTGCGAAATGAGAGGCGCCATTCAGACCACTTTTCTCGTAAGGTTGCTAATATCTTTATATGAAAATGCTGTCTGCCCCCTACTTTAAACATCGCACCAAGTCATTCAGCGTCTGAAGCTGTCTGAAGTCGAGCAGGTCCGTATCTTTGGTAGGAGCAGCGTGCTCAAACGAAAATCCTTAAATCGCGTCTTAATCCGGAAATGAGAGTTTTCGCTTCTACGGTCTGCGTAACAGTACAGTACATGACTGTCAACACCAGCTTTTCATTTCCCTGCCCTAGGTTCTTCGAGTGATTTCAACGTTTAGACGTTGCGAGCTTTTTGCAAGATAACAAAACAACCGAGAGGTATTTTCTTAGTAAAATATGATTTTATTTGTACTTATACATAATCGACAATGTAATCATTATACTAAAACGCCAGATCTTGAAGGCATTTAACATGTTTCATAAGCATGCAATACCTATGCAGTTTGTTCGGTGGGATAAATAAGTAATATTAAAATATCATTTAAATATATGTAAGCTAATGAGGCTTGCAATAACAGGACAATATAATATTTGATTAAACGGACTTAATTAACCTGGAATAGAACATTTCAGACACATAGTATTTTTAATTTAGGTCTCGCAAATGTTTTTTTAAACATTGGAAAATAAGTTACAAATGAGATTAGGTATTCAGTGTCTTTAAAGGTTAGGAAGTAGTCAGACTGGCCCAAGGAATCTCTCCTGAAGCAAATACTATGAATGCTTGCCATGAATAAGTACCCGGAATGGTGTTTAATAACTTATCATTCATATTAATGTTTCCAGCGTTTGATAAAGGAAACTCAATATGCATTGTTGCTGTGTACCTATTTCCCATTTCTCCCCTTGCAGAAGTGTTCTGGGCCAAAGATGTTGTTGAGAATGTAGCTCTGGAGATCTTATACGGAGACTCAGAGGGTGAGGTCAGAGGTCAGAGGTCGGCATGATGACCCGGAATTCTATATATGTCATGAAAATGCAGAGCAAATAAAACAAAAACTGGTTGGATTGCTTTCTGTAGACTGTAACTCTCACTCACCGTATGGAGTGAAGTCCTGGGAAACACTCTGGCCTACATCTTAACTAAAAGAATTGGTGATAATCCAGTTAATTTTATGGGTAACAACAAATACAACAGAAAATTGACAAAGAAAATAAAAAATATTAAAGATGACTTTAGAGTATTCCTTCAAGCACCAAAGCCTTGCAAGGCACCTTAGTGGAAACTGTCGTCTTTGTCTGTCAGACTGATGCTGCGAACAGTCAGGCACAGGAGTGCTCGTTGTGAGATTCACCGGAGGAGTGCTTTGGAAGGGCCTCAGGCTGGGTGTCCCTGTCATTCACACTATTTTATTTGAATGCTTGCAATGCTAAAGCAGAGATTGACACTTTAACAAAGGTCTAATCTTGCTTACATGGTGGTTTTTTTTTTTTGTTGTGTGGTAGGGATTTGACAAACCCATCGTTTCCTTGAAATTGCCGGTTGCTGTGGGCGAGGCTGGCCCGCTCCCGTCCTCCCGCTGTCCTGGTAGGAGCTCCGAGCTGCTAGAGGTCGATGATAGCGGCCAGGCGGAGGCAGAGGGCCGCCTCGGCGGGCACCGCGCCCTCCGCGAGCTCGTTGCCGTCCAGCCTCAGCACGCGCAGCTGGGAGAAGTTCATGATGTCGATCACCGAGCAGAAGCTGCTGACGGAGAACTCTGGAAAGGCACACAGAGGGGGCGTCAGCTCGTAACTCGGCACGCAGAGCAGGCATAGTGCAGCCCCTGAGCACTTCAGGTACCCTGCTTCTCTCTGAGTGATCTGCTTGCGGGCTGTGCGAAACGTGCAGTCGGTTATGTCAGAACGTCAGGTTGTCTGAACTTCAGTTTAGGTGTTCAAAACAGAAGGATCCTTAATAGAAGGTGAAAGATACACAGTGAACTCATATGTAAGTGACATGATGCTTTTACATCTTTCAATACACCTTCACAGTCTTTTTCAGTGTTTTACAAATTTCAGTTCAGCCCATATAGTTTGGTAGTTTGGTAGTTGGTAGTTAATTAATCCCAGAATATCTTCCAGCTGTTTCATGAAAGAAGCCAGGGTATCGGCTTCAACCACACAGCTGTGTAACTTATCCCACACTCCCACAACCCCTGTGCACACCCCTCTTGTTTAAATGGTTACTGAAGATATTTTAATCTGTAAGCCCCACATTTTCTAGGGTAACCACAACAGGAATGATTATAATGAGAAGAGCACAGGAAAGCAAGTTACATATAGGACCATGTAAGCTAACAGGTTATCCTAAATGTGTTTTGTTTTAATGCATTTTCTATTTATAAGCTGCTGTTTCATTGTGGAAAGCTATAGGAAGGATCTTAAGATTTTGAAGCTTTCATCATCTTAATTGTATGGGACTCCTACGAAACAGCATGGAATTAATTTTAGTGTCGGCCACAAGAAAATGTGGTGGTGTCACTGCACAGAAGAATTACTGCATGGTAAGCCAGTGTCTAACATATAATAAGAAATAACAAGACAACCATAAGGACAGACAAGACTTTTACAGATATCACTAGACTCCCCATCTGCAGCATCTCTGAGTAGAAAAATACGAACAGACTGTAAATCACACACTGGAGCCAAAGGCACACCGTTCCCCACCAGGACACAATCAGCTGACAACAGAAAAGTAAGAAAACTGATGCTGCCTGTTGGGGAAGAAAGCAGCCCTGAGCAAACCCAGTCTAGTGCTGGGGCTTCCAGCAGCTGCTGTACTCCCAGCCCGTCTGGACAGTACTTGGGAAATGAATCACATCACATGTTTTACATATTACAGTACCTTTTTGACTGTATATTGCGGTGGGCTTGCACAATAGTTTCACATTTTTCCAGTTTTCCCAAGCTTTGGAGATGCTTTGCTTTTTGGCAGTTTCCTGCAGGTGGAATAATGCCATGTTTCTCACCATTTGTTCACTGTTTGCAACAATGCTTCACTATGCTATTGCTGTATCATAGTATATCACAGCAGACATTTCTAAGGGTAGGACAAGGGTGAGAGTTTAGGGTTAGGCGAAGATGAATTAGGGCTAGGTTTAAGGTCCTGATTAAGGTTAGCTATGTCTTGTTATTTTGCACAATACAGGCTCACAGGGCATTAAAACCAGAAGTTCTGTACCTTTGATTTGATTGGCATGCAAGTAGAGGTTTTCCAAGCTGGTGCTGACAGGGGGGATTTTCTGCAGCTTGTTATACGACAGGTCAAGCTCGATCAGGCTGCTGAAGTTGAAGGTGTTGGAGGGAATGCCCTCGTCCGTGAGCTTGTTATTGGAGAGGCGGATGTACTGCAGCTTGGCAAACCTTTGGAAGAAGTCGCTGGGGATGGAGCCGATGCCGTTGAACTCCAGGTAGAGCTGCTGCAGCCCCTCGGGCAGGCTGTCGGGGAGCTTCTTAAGCTTGTTGTTGCTGATGTCCAGGAGCAACAGAGATGTCAGCCCCTTCAAGGCTCCCCCGACCTCTTCAATCGAGTTATCGTTGAGGAGCAGCACACTCAGGTTGGCCATCCCCTCGAAAGAAGCGGGCTGGATCTTGCTGATCCTGTTGTTGGACAACCGGAGGTCCCTGAGTGACCTGGGCAGTCCCTGGGGCACTCGTGTCAGGTTGTTGTGGTCCAGGTACAGCCTGTCCAGCTGCAGCAGGTTGGAGAAGACTTTTGCCCCTAAGTTGTCCGTGCTGAGCAGATTCCGGTGCAGCATGATCCAGGCCAGATCGGTGGCGTTGTCGAACACCCCATCCTGAATCGAAGTGATCTGGTTGTTCTGGAAGTAGATGTACTTCATCCGGGACGGCACGAAGGGGACGTGCCCCAGTTTGCGGCTGTCGCAGTACATGGCGATGGGGAAACTGGGAAGGCAGTCACACTCCAGTGGGCACTCTCTGCCCGGGGAGCCCACGGAGTCCTGCCCTCTGAAGGAATTGTAGCCAGCCCAGCGTTCGCGCAGGTACGACAACCAGAAGAAGTTGTCTTGGTTCTGGCACAGAGTTAGTCCATACAGCCCCGTCGCTAGCAGGAGTGCAGCCAGTCTCATTCTTGCAGTTAGTACTCAGCCCAGGAAATGGAGCAAGAGCTGCAAAAGGAGTTTCATCTTTATTAATGTCATGGCATATTGTATATATATTGATTACATTCAATCAGAAAATAATTTATCTTTTCAAAGACCATGTCTTGTGATCAAGTGATCTGATAGACCAAGACGACTGTTCTTCTGAAACAGTGAAGAGAACCCTGATAAGGTTGTTTTTGATCTGTTGAAATGGAAATACAGAAATACTCAGCTTTTTGCTTCTTACATTTCCCATGATAAAATAATACACTTCTGTTGTAAAATTTCCTTGCAGGAGGCATGCTGTTATTTTGTATCTAATCATGATGCCTCTCAAATCAAGAAACCTACAAGAAATGTCTGAATTAGTGTGGTATTTGCAAGTAATGTGTTACAGAAAGTGGGCGATTAATGTTTGCTTTCTAGCCCAATTTAGGATGTGCATCAGCAGCTATCCCACCTGAAAAAGAAGAAAATATTTTGAACTTTTCAAGCCAGCAAGAACCCAAAACTGAAAGCAAAAAATGTATGAATCCCAATAGTGTTCAAATCTGCAGGGAGCTCTGCAGTGCAAATTCTAAATACAGGTCAAGTGAATAAATGTTCATTTATATAAAATGACGCATGTGCTTTCATGATTAAATTAGAATTATTTTGCAATCTAACATACACATTTCTTTACAAAGGTACTTTTTAACTGAGAAAAATACACCAACCTGGATAAAAAAATGCAGTCCTTCGCTGTCCCGTCTCTGCCTGTGGCTTTCTTTCTGGGTCTGAGTGCTAAAGATGTATAACAGTTTGTAAATACCTTCTCTGGAGTAGCCTTTTTTTTCAACCTGTCCAATTACTGCAGGCTTCCTTGTTCCATCAGTGATCCTTAGCTATTAGCATAGGCTGGCTGTTTTGTATGACCTAGAGCCAGTATTAATCCCATCTGCAAAACAGGTTAGGTAAACGTGCACTGTAATGGCAACCTTGTCTTTCTCATTAGACCTGAGAATTGAACAGGACCTTCTCATTAACTGAGTAGGGGGTGTGACCTGTTTTTTTCCTTTTGGCATGTGCTTGTTTTTGGGAGTAGGCCAAAGTGGAGGTGACATGAACACAACTGATCCCTCCCAAATAATAAGTCAAACCTACAGAGCAATTTCTAAACTCTTGAAACTATTCTGTTTTCGTCACTGAAGCAGGTGATTTGTTCAGATAAGAAGATTAAGGATAGTGTGGACTGAAAATCCAAACAAACATTAGTCCTCAAGGACTGCAGTTGTCCATTCTTGACTTGATTGGAATTGTTAATTTGGTAAATCTTTCAAAACCCAAATTTTCACAGATTGATGATTTGACAGTGACCCGCTGTATAAGTTGAATCCCGTCCAAGCTGTTGGCCTCCCCAACATACACCTTAATGTTGGGATTATAATTATTCATCAATACATCCCTGCATTACAAGGCTGTAGAAGCCAGAGCCTATCCCAGCAAGCAAAGGGCACAAGGCAGGATACAGCCTGGATGGGACGCCAGTCAATCGTAAGTCACACACTGACATAAAGACACACACATTCATACCAGGGCCATACCTACAAGTATGTCTTTTGACTGTAGGGGAAACACACACAAGCATGGGGAGAACATACAAACTCCATACAGGTAGTACTCCAGGAACCCAGGGCCCCAGTGCTGTGAGACAGCAATGATAACCACTTTGCCACCTTGCCTCCTATTATTATTATTTTACTGTTATATAATTGCATTTATCTAAGGCAACATACAATATATAAAAGGTTAGGGACTGGTATGAAAGAGGCAGTTTCTGCTCTTTGAAGGTAGCTGGCGAATGGGTAGTAGGAAGGTTACAGAGGAGGAGTGTGTTGGGAGCAGGAGAGGGAGGGGACAAGAGTGACGCAGAGGTTCTTGTCAGAAGAACGGAGGACGATGGAGAGGTAGAGCCAAGAGGTAAAGAGCTAGAGAGCTCCACGACAGGGAGAGAGAGGAAGGGAAATAAAGGAGTCGGGCTTTGAGAGGTTGAGTCTGAGATGATGGCGCAGCATCCAGGAGGAGATGGCTCTGAGACAACATTAATAATCATGCAGTCATGCACATCTGACCCTGATCAGGCCTCATCTGTAACATCTTATCCTCCTTTCAGTGGATTTCAGCAATAGAGCTCAATCAGTTTGAGTTTGATTATGCGTTTTAATTCCTTCTGCAAAATCCCAGTGAACATTTGTATTAGTTTATGTCTTTTAAACCTTGAAGCTGGTATATAGCTGGTATGGATGGTATATGATATATATGAATTAAAGCCTGATACACTATTGAGCATTCTTAGCACTATGCAGCTAAAAATATACTAACTTAGACTTATGAATGCAGTCTTCATTTCCAGTGACACAATCACTGTATTTGTTGGCATATGATGGTCTGTGCTTCCTTCCTGCTTCATTCTTTGCAGGATGTGCTGCTTATTCCCATTATCCCTTGGATACAGTTAAGGAATATGTGCTGGAAAAAAAAAATATGCACAAAAATTGAAGCAACATTCTGATTCCCCTTGCCCAAAGGAAGAGCAATGGCAGTATCTGACAGCATGGAAATGCAAGTTTGGGGATATTTCAGGAATGGAAGAGAACAATATGTCCTGTGAGAGAGAGTTTGTCCAATGCAGGCCAGAAAAGGTAGATCAAAGTGTGTCATGGGCACTTCGGTTGGTGCAGTGTACCTGATTCCAAGCACAACAAGTACACCTTACACAGGCAATGTATATTTCCATTGGGTCTTCAAAGGAAACATAGAAACCGCAATAATAAAACAAACGTTTGCTCCCATTTGTTACTGTTTTCCATTTTTTTCCTCGTTATGCTGTTGTTAAACACATTGCAAAAAATATTAATGCCAGCACTGGATAACCATTTTTTTTCTGACTACATTACGAAATCTAAAATATCTACACTTTGGGAAGTAATTGACAGGTTTCCATGCCAGTGAAAACACTAAAGTGATGGAAGGCTGGGGAGATGGAAAGGAAGGGACAGGTTTTGGCCCCTGTTGTTTCATCAAGTTTTCTGGCTGGCAGGGCAATAAGGGATCCTTTCGGGTCAGGTTTCCCAGTTGGAGAGTCATCAGGTAAAGCAGTTGTGGGTAAGCTGTGTCTGGAGCTCAAGGAAACTTTATCCATTGCCTCAGTTTGGACTGGGCTGGTGCCTGCTCACTTGAAAAAAGTCTCACATGAAGGAATTGCTTTGCTGTTTTCCCACATCTTTTTTTGTTTCCAGCATGAGAAGCCAAAAAGTGCCATATTACACATTCTCCAAGGAGGCAATCCAGAGCACTGATGCCTTAATGGAAACTGGAGACTTGCTCTATTTTGTTACACAAGGGGATCCACAAGGCAAGCAGTGCTTCAATGGAGGCCTGGCAGAGTTTAAAGAATGAGTCAGAAAAAATGGAAAACAAAGTGAAGCAGAGGCAAACAGCAAACAGCAGTTGTCATCTGCTGAACATTCATGCAAATGTGCACTCACACTCAGATAATCAGAGCTCCACCAACCCCAGACTCAAACTTCTTCCAAATCCAACAAGAAAATACAGATCTTTGATCAACTGTCCATTAAAAATGTTTATGTGAGAATCCTCACAAAACTGTGAGATCCCATCTTACTACTTAATAATGATATTAGGATTTTTTAAGTGATATCATTTCATAAATCAGGAAAGATAAAACCAGCACAGAAAACATTTAAAAATCGATATAATTGTTTTTAAATTAGGACATTTTTAAAGCAATTAAAACAGTACTTGCGATTTAAACAATAGGACACTCCCAGTAACAGTCCTCTCCATGAGCATGTCTGTGCTTTCCCTAGCAGTGGACTGGTGTCCCATCCAGGGTGTACCCTGCCTTGTGCCCATTGATTGCTGTTTCCCCGCAACCTTGAAGTTGTTAAAAATGGATGAATGGACAGATAATAATAAAGATAACAATACTTTTACTTTTCGCTATTACTACTACAAGAAGTAGCAAGATGGGGGGTCAGGGTGTTAAAATGTTGTGCACAGCACCCATTCAGTGACATCACTTGACAATACAGCAAACCACGATATAAGTGTATGCACTTTCTCAGGGCGTCAGAGGTTTGTTACTTGTTCTAATGATCAAACAATGAGCCCCACAATTTGGTAAAATGAAGTCAATCTTAAAAAAAAGCTGTTAAGAGTTAAAGTTTGAAAACGTATCATGTATTGTTTAATAGCCCTGTAAGCTAGATTTCTGGCAAGCAACCCCTTTATTGGACAAGCATGTAACCTGGGCTGAGTAATCATTCATTCTGGCAGACAGCATTCAGGAGTCGGCTTGCAGCCGCCATTACTCCTGTCTTGTTCTTCCTCTGCAGGAGGGCTGGAGATAAGTTCTCTTGGCCTCTGGCCGAAACACAAAACAGGAAAGTGCAGTCAGCATCAGGAAACACTTTAAATTCCTTGTTCCTACAGTCATAGTGATTATCCTCCACAATCTGTCATTCATCACGGTGTGAATATGACACAAAAAGAGGCCCTCGGCCAATTTTGTGGTCCCAGAAGATCTTCTGCGACACCAGATGGTATCCATACTGAGATACAGTGCAGCACACTGTGGGTGAACGTTTATTACAAAGCATAGTTGATATATGAATATATTGTATACAACATGTAGATATTGTAAAACAATGCTGCTGAAATTATTTTCCTTAAATATATTCTAGTTTTGTAGCCGCCAGTGCTGAATTGATTTATCTGTATGTGTGTGTGGGGAGGTTCTGCTTATTCTCCTTCACAAAGCTACAATTGTCAGAGCTGCCTGCCATGTCCACTCTGGCAAACAGGAGAGTCAGCATCAGTCAGAGGAGGGATGCAGCTCTCACTGGTGGTGTCACAGGCTCGCTGGCTCCCATGCCCTGTAGGCAGGGGGCACCTGAGCTGGTTCATGTCACCTAGCTAGACCAGGCCAATTGTATAGAGGTCACTGTCAGCTGATGACATGTTATGAAATGACATAATAAGTGAGTGCATTTCTGGTGGGTTTAATGGACTATTTAAAATGTATTTGAATATTAATTAGTATTTTTCTTTCCTAGCTATGTGGAAAATTTGAAGTTAGGACATGAGAGTTGGCAACACATAACCCTAACCCTAAGAGAGTTTCATTTGTGAAAGTGGGGGTGACCAGTTGAACTGAAAGACAACAGCCAGCTAGAAATGAAAGAAAAACATTTCCATGAAAATTACAGAGTAAGATTGTTTTGGTGGTGGAGCATTTGATAATTCATTTTCTTTAAAGAAAACAGGACACGTCTTTGTTAACAGACTGCAACTGAATACTTAATTTGCTTACTCGTGAGAAGGAACAGTTTTTGAACAGGACTTTTATTGTTCTGCTTAAATTCACTCATAACTTTAGACGCTCAGGGTTTCAGAAATCAATCAAGTGTTACTAGACATTAATGATACAGTAGTTTAAAGTATGCAGGAATTCCAAAGCGTGTCTAAAGTTTGCAGTGGGATCTTGGATCTGTACCCTAGTTCCACATTTACGACACAATATGTGGCTTTATGATGAAAGGACTGCTGCTCGTTATTCCACCCTCATCATTAGACACCTCAGATGTTTCTTTTTAATTTGGGTTTCTAATCCTGCATCAGAAGCTGTGATGTCTGCTGGACCTGATAGGGAAAGATGCCTGAGCCCAGATGAGAACCAGATATGGCAGCAGGATTTCTTTTCCAACACAGTGTGCTGTTAATTTTAACAAACGATGCAGAGGCCCTGTCTTATTGTAATGTGTGGCACTTGTGTGTCTACTGTGCAAACCTGTGGCTTTGGGCACAGATGGATGTGTGGGATCAAATGACGTGTGAGACTAATTGGAAAGACTGATAGATAGGAGGAATTTCCTTTGTATATCTGTGGCAGATGCAAAATAATTCCTCATTCC